CAGCAGAACAAAATGAAAAGAAAAAAGAAAACGCTTTGCTGCAAGCTAAATGAAGAGGAATAAATATTCCAGGTAGTAAAAAATAGATAGCATTTTATTATTTATATTGAGAAAAACTTGAACAACACTCCTGTAATTAACAAAAAACAAACTGAATGTTCACAACATTTTACAGCTGTTCTTTTTTTTTTAAATTACTTAATAAACATATTAACTAAAATACATATGTTATACCCAGGGCTAATTTATTTACAATGTTACATGACTAATAAAAATCACAAACTAATCATATATAATTGTATTTAAAATAAAAGGAAAATAAAGTGAGCTGAATTCAAACAGCTCTAAAAGATTTTAGAATAGTTCTCCGCATCTTTCTGAAGGCGCTCCGCCTGTGTTTGTGGTGTTGAATGCTTTGACCATTTAAACATAATTACGCAAACAAAATGTTTAGTGTACTGTCTCTGAAAAAAAATCAACTGATTGATTAGCCTATATTTATTTATTGTAGACGCTAGCAGCTGAAAACATACAAAATGTTTTTACAATCTTTTGGAATATCATTGTCACAGTTTCTGTAATCAATTGCGTGAAATTAAAATGAAGCTAAAGCAAACAGCAACCACCATCATGGTGACTTCAAACAAAACATTTTCATTTGAATGCATTCTCTCTGGGCTTTTCTTGCAATAACAAACGTGTCTTATAAACAGAGTTACAGTTTAAGTCGAGAGCCCAGCTAAAATAAACAGCAACCACCATCATGGTGACTTCAAACAAAACATTTTCATTCGAATGTCAACGTCTAAACTTTTGTCATTCTTAATAACAACTTTTGTAGACGTCTGACAGAAATAAAGTCAATCTGGTTAGAAATGAGTGAGTTGTTTAATCCTCCTCTACTGAGATTTAATGTCTTCTTCTGTTTAATTGATTTCATTTAAGGTTGTGGCTGGAAGTCAGTTGTAGTTCTTGTGTTTCTCTTTTTTCCTGTTCTTGTCGTTTCTATTTTCTTCAGTGATTCTGCTTGTTAACAGCTGGTGTTCATCACTAATGCTCAATCAGCACTTAAATATGCACTTAATCGTCTAATTAACTGCAACATTTTTACTCTTTGTAGTGTGGACACTACAGGATTTGCAGCAGGGTTAGTGTGTGGAGGTCCTGAAGGTTATCAAGCAATTTGAACTAATTAAAGAAAATAAATGTTAACATTTCCATAAAAATTACTTTAGAAAAATATATAAATTGGTGTAAACAGAATAATAAAAAATAATCGTTCATTCGAACATTAAAACTTCTCATCTTAATTAGTTTTACATTCATGTTGTGTATTAGCACATATCTTAGCAGTAAAAACAAAAATAGGATAAATAGTGATGCATATTTGAGATATTACTACATAATTGAGATATTACTATTTAATGACAAATCCTTTACAATAGTAATTGCTGCATACCATGAATGTGTACAAATGATCTTATTTATCTTAAGTCTCACTGTAAAGAATGTCTTAACAGTCATCAGACTATAATTAAGCTCAGAATTCATTAGAACGTATCTACTCACAACGTGATGTTCTGAACAGTCCGTCCGTCTTCAGCTGACTCTGAAAGTCTGCAGACAACCAGATCAGAAAGCCTATTTATACTCAAGGCAACACCCTGTTTCTGAAAGTCATGTGATTTCTGGGAATGCGTTATTTATTTATATTTTATTTTATTTCTTTATTACATAGGTCCACGTAGACTTATAAACAAAATTCGGCATCTCTAAAGAGGTTGTTTAATGATATTTGTCACTCTTACATTGCACAAACAAAGTGAACAGCTAAAGTGAAATGTTCCCTCAGGGTGCAAATCATAACAGCTTTCAAGGGGGCAGATTTGCTGATGAACCTAAAATCATTCACAATATAAATAATTTTAATTCATGCAGACATGTGCTTTAATTAATATGTCTAATAATCATCAAATTAAATCTTGCTTGTTTGTCATAAAAATCATGTGCAAATTTATCATAACGAGTCGTGCAAAATGGTTTCACATACTATTTTTTTCGAGCAGACCTACTGTTTGTAACATAATGAACATGAAGACAGTTGTATTATCTCAGTTTTAGATAAATGTTTTTAGGTAGTAATTGAATAGAATTCGACATTCTACAAGCTGTAGGTGCTGCAGGTCTAGGTTAGATGAAGCACGCTGTCCGGAAAGCCTCAACCAGGTTTCCAGGTTTCCGTGAAGCAAAGCGCAGCAGAGTTGAAAAAGTCCTTGTTTGTGCAGGTGAGGAGTAGTAGTTCGTCTGATTTATGTGCAAGGGAGCAGAGATTCGCCAAATGAATGCTCGACAGTGGAGTCCTAAAACCGCGCTGTCTGAATTTCTCGAGAGTACCAGCGCGCTTCTCTCGTTTGCGTCGCTTGGATCGCAACTCCTCCAACTAGAATGCCCAGTAAAATGTCTGAATGCTAAAAAGTCGGCAAAAAGTAATTAAGTGTGCTATTTCTGATGTCTAGGAGTTAATTTTAACAAAGTTACTTAAGACAGGACAAACAAACAAAAATAGTACAAGTACCCAGGAGCTACAAACAGAGGCAGCCGTCCGCGGCACCATCTTGATCTTGATCAAGTGTATCGACTATACACTATATCGAACTGTGTGAGTTGTTTACTTTTTAAATTAGCCTTCCCATTAACTTCCCATTTGCTGTTGCTGCATGGTTAACTTACCGTCGCTCAGATAAGATGATGGTGGTCGTAGAACGCCTTCAGGCGACCGTTAGTTTTACATTAGTATACGCCACATACAGGTGATTAACGAATTTAAAAAAAAATCTTCCACCAAATTATCATCACATCTCTCATCTCTTATAAGTTAACAATGCCACCTCAATAAATTAGTAAAACATTAATCTGAGTTAATGCCTAAATGATATATTTTAAAATTAATAATGCATGAAATATCCGTTAAAGCAGAAATAAGAAAGATGTAAACTGCATCTCTCATTCAAACTCGCTCGCTCCATCTCTCTCTTCCAGCTCGTCTTACATATTCACCCAAACGCTACCGTTTGCTCTGAAGCGCTGTCTTGTTTTCTTGAATTGCATCAGGAGAGCTGAATTACAGTCTTGCGCTACAGCGCCACACTGGTCAAACCGCATTACTGCAGGCTCTTATATTAGGTCATAAAAGATCAAACGACTACTCGAATACAAAAATATTTGTCGGAATTTTTTTTTTGTCGATGATGTCGACTAATCGTTTCAGCCCTACCCCTGGAGTCAGCAGTAAAGACTTTTATATTTAAAGAGACTGAAACAGGGCTGTAAACAAAGAAGTTATTTTTACTCTTAATACCGCTTTCCTCAGCGGACATTCAAACTAATGTTTTATGTATGAGATTGAGCTGAAGAATGAATGCTGTATCAGATGCAGGTAATCAAACTCTCAGTCCATCTCTCTCATCTAGTGATGGGAGAAACAAACTAATTCGAAGCTTTGAATCAATTAAACCAATTGCTTCGCAAAATGATTCACTGTTTCAAAGTGCTTGAAATGCCCCATGATGGTCAGAACAATGTAAATGCAACAAAAATGCCGTAACACGCGTAAAAAGTGTAATCTATTAAATTAAATTATCACATTCTTTATTTGCAGGACTTGATTTCACAGTTCACAGAGATTAACGCCTCCTTGTGGCGACTGAAATTTCGAAACAGTTCTGATGTAATGAAGCTTTGTTTTGCTGAAATTTGCTAAAATTGCTGTTTGCTGGCAGTTTGATACAGGCTCTGAATAACTGGTTTGAGACAAATGATTCACAAAGGTTTGAAAGCTTCATGAAACAAGCGCTGAACACCTTGAAAATCATCAAATCAGACCGGCCTAACCACCTCAGACTGGTTTAAGCCACACTAGAAGCAATTATGAACATATAATTGTACATATAAAGATGTACTAAAAAGTCCCACTTAAGTCCCATTTAAGTGGTTTAAAAAAAATCACTCAAAAGTTCAACTTATTGCATTTAATGTAACTTTAAAATGTGATACATTTGAAATTAATTAGAAATACAATGTATTTAAGCGGCGAAAATAACATTTTTAATTTGCACTTGTGTTCTTTTAAAGTATATTATTTTCGCAATAAGTACACTTTATAAAAGTATACTTAAATGCACTTCTTTATCACAAGGGTTCAAACTTCAGTTTCTCTTTTATTCATTTAATTCTACTCGGTGCCGGGTTTTTTTCTCTCTCTCTCTCTCCACTGTTTATCTGTGAGCTTCAACAAAATCACTGCTGCTGCAAACCTGGGTGTTGGTTTCCTGTTTTTGTGCTGTTGATCTCCAGAATGTGAAACTTTCAAGCTGAATATGATTGTGATTTCATCTGGATCGTTGTTTACCTTGTACACACTTGACAACATTATTCCACATTACAAAAAGTATATTATTTTCGCAATAAGTACACTTTATAAAAGTATACTTAAATGCACTTCTTTTTCACAAGGGTTCAAACTTCAGTTTCTCTTTTATTCATTTCATTCTATTCAGTGCTGTTTTTCTTTCTCTCTCTCTCCACTGTTTATCTGTGAGCTTCAACAAAATCACTGCTGCTGCAAACCTGGGTGTTGGTTTCCTGTTTTTGTGCTGTTGATCTCCGGAATGTGAAACTTTCAAGCTGAATATGATTGTGTGATTTTATCTGGATCGTTGTTCCTTGTACACACTTGAGAACATTACTCCACATTACAGCAAAACATGTCAGATCAAACTAAATGTTTGTATATTTACTGTAAATAACATGAATGACTCTTTACACAGCATCTCAACACACTTTAAGTGAAGCCAAGGATCATTATTTGCCTTGAAATATAAAATTGCAAGAACAAAAATCAGAGGTGGCTGCAGTGGAAGATGCAAAATCTAATAAGAAAAAGGATAATATATATTACTCACAATTACTAAACACAACAATACAGACCGTAGCCAATTTTTAGGGCTGTGAATCTTTGGGTAGACAGCGAATCGATTCGATTCACGATTTATAGGTCTTCGATTCGATTCAAGAACGATTTTTGCAAATTAAGAATGATTTAATTCGATTCGATTCGATCCACAATTAAATTCGATTTGATTAACGATTCTGCAGTCTTTAAGTGCATTCACAGGATTATTTAAATGCTTCTCCTAAATTCTTTAAATGCTTAGTCAGGGGGCAAATTACACAGCAGTCTTTATGGCTAGAGAACCATGGGTTAGAGGGGAAAAAAACACTTTTGTCCATTGTTAGATGATAGTTTAATGATGCTATGGCATGACATGACGTATGTAGAAATTTATGTAAGCCAAGATTTTAAAAAAGAGCTTTAAAAGTATTATGTATAGGCTAACATACTGTCACACCAGGGACGTAGCCATCATTTCAGAAGTGACAGAAATGTCAAATACAATAATTTTATGTAGGCCTATGAATATATATATATATATGAAAAGTTCAGATGCAAAAGCCTAAGTACGTCTGACGTTTTTCTTTAAAATTAGAAATCTATACATAGTAGCCAGAAAGTAATGCTATGTAAGTACTGGTACTTCTGAATGGGTTGAGGCTGGGATTTAGCGCATCTGAAGTGAAAGTACTTGATATACATATACTATGTGTGGAGAGCATTCACTCAGTATCATTATCTCATTTTTGACCAAGATGGCTTTTAGAAGCTTTTGCATTGGAACTCTTCATATATTAATTAATGATCTGTTAAGCATTATTTAATGTTTGTTAATGATATATATATATATATATATATATATATATATATATATATATATATATATATATATATATATATATATATATATTAAGAATAATTTAATTCGATTCGATTCGATCCACAATTAAATTCGATTTGATTAACGATTCTGCAGTCTTTAAGTGCATTCACAGGATTATTTAAATGCTTCTCCTAAATTCTTTAAATGCTTAGTCAGGGGGCAAATTACACAGCAGTCTTTATGGCTAGAGAACCATGGGTTAGAGGGGAAAAAAACACTTTTGTCCATTGTTAGATGATAGTTTAATGATGCTATGGCATGACATGACATATGTAGAAATTTATGTAAGCCAAGATTTTAAAAAAGAGCTTTAAAAGTATTATGTATAGGCTAATATTTTGTCACTCCAGGGCCGTAGCTATCATTTCAGAAGTGACAGAAATGTCAAATACAATAATTTTATGTAGAAGTGACAGAAATGTCAAATATAATAATTTTATGTAGGCCTATGAATATATATATATATATGAAAAGTTCAGATGCAAAAGCCTAAGTACGTCTGACGTTTTTCTTTAAAATTAGAAATCTATACATAGTAGCCAGAAAGTAATGCTATGTAAGTACTGGTACTTCTGAATGGGTTGAGGCTGGGATTTA